GACATATATGTGAACATTTCAGTGAAGTATCAAGAGCAGAAGCAACACTACAGAGACTTAATGCACATTTAAAATTAAGATGTGGAATTTGTACTTACTTTGCAAACAATTCAAAGAGTAGAAAATATATTAGCAAGATGTCAATAGAAAGATAGTTTCAAATAAGTTGTTTTTCCCCTTTTATTATTCTATTTTTTATTTTAACATAAATGTTATTTGAGCACATTTATAAAACAGGGTAATAAAAATAACGATTGAGAGATGGAAATAGAAAAAGGGATATTTGATGAAACAAAATCCAAAAGAAGGAACCAAGAACTCAAGTTGAACAACATTTTTTTTTGAAATGAGTCTTTCTATCTCATGGAAGTTATGAAGCAGTTAGCATTTATTAAAGGAATTTCTGCAAAAATCTTGAGAAGTGTGTGAAACTTACCAGACTAATGATTCAATTTTGGACCCTGTGAAGATGAGGGCAGTGAGCCTCCCCAATCTGCACTGCTTTAGACATACAAATAATGAAAAGCTAACACTGATGAGATGAACATGCTAAAAGGTAGTCTAGTAGCCTGTAGAATAGAGAAAGGAAATAAGATAGCAATGCACACTGGGAAGAAAATTCATACTAGAGATCCTTAATTTCTTCCATACAGTCTTTATTTTTTTCAAGAGTTTGTATTGAGTTTTCAAAGGAGTTTAAATGTCACTTCCCAACCAATGAATTATAAATCTAGCTAAGACCTTAATGGTTGGTTTAACAATTGCTTTTGAAAGGGCCTGAGATAACATATCCTCCCTTTACATTTCTCAGGGAAAGATTTTGTGCTGGAAAACAAGCATGCAGTGTGGGTATGTGGTAACCATATTTTGTTGAGCCAAAGAAATATCAGGACATAATCTGACATGGTCTGGCAAGCAGAAAAGTATTTGACTAAGTTGTAACTCCAGAATATATGGTTGCCAAGGAATGAAAGATTTTATTAATAGTCACTACAAAATAGTGTTTCAAGGAAAAGGAGTATTCTGGACATCAGAATTTTTTTTGAGGGAGTCTGTGCATACTTATTTCTGTCCTTGCCTCCCTCCTCAAATATTTGGCAAATGCCTAGGCATGCAAGGCACTGAAGCAGGCACCTAGATAGAAAGCTAATAAGATAGAGTTCCACCATGGAAATAGAGATTTATATCAGAATAATCAGAAGAGAGTGTTATGTGGACAGTAATGGGAAAAAGCAGAGCTAATGCAGAAGCTAAAGCTACTAACTGCCTAGGGTGAACATGTGGAAGAAGATTTGCAAAAAGTGGTGATAAATGAATTCCTTTTAATGGAAAAGTAGAAGAGCTGTAAGAACAAAGTTTAAAAGATACCATTCCTGTTAGCTATCTTTTCCAGACAAGTTATTTATGTTATCAAGCCTGGATGGTATAAAATATCTCAATGGTGTAAAATTCAGATATTTTTTTATATGTGACTGAAGTTCATTCTGGTCATTAGAGCCATACTTTACTAGCCTAGATTTTGGAATTCTTAGACTTCTCATAGAGTGTCTATAAAATCTGTTTTTGTGATCTTCATTGTAAACTCAGAATTTTATTTAGTATTCTTAAATTTTCATTGAGTATATTCCTCTTTACATGGATCCATTTATTGTTTAGTTTTTGTCAACCATTCAAGTTTTTCAGGTACATGTGCTACTTCAGTTTCTAATTTAAAATAAATTTATTAACCGTGACTTGAGAATGCTTGATTGATTTTCTTTTTCTAGGCTTTTAATAATTTGATAATGAAACAAAAAAGGTGCAAGTTAATTTTTATGTTTGATATCATATAACTTAGAAACTAGGGTGAGATTTAAACCTTTCTGAAAAAAAAATTAGGTAGCTTCTGGACTTTGCAAAGTAGCCAATAGTTTATAATATATGCTTTTGTTAACATAGGCAAGAAACTCTCAAAGACCAGATTATTATTTCTTACAAATTCTATGGAGCTTATAGGAGTAAGGGAATTTTCCTCAATTTGACCATATAAAGAAATGCAAAATTACTCAAGAATTGGTAAATAGTGAGCATTATTAAAGGACTTTCTGCAAAAATTTTGAGGAGTGTGTGAAACCTACCAGACTAATTATAATATAATTATAAAGCACTCTAATTATAAAACCATCTCTTCAGGCAATCTGAAGAGATTGTTTTATAATTAGAGTTTGGTATTTATGCTCATTATTATTGCAAAAGACCTACAATTCGAATATTGGACTCAAAATTACTGTTCCTATTTTAATGGTTTATGCTATGATTTGGATCAGATAAACATTGAATACTTAACTGAAACTAAACATTTTCTGGGTTTCTTTTATTCCCCTTTTGACCTGGTTATAAGCATTCTGTCAGCATCTACTTAGAAACCCATGTTTCTCTCAGGAAATGAGAACTGTCAACCAACATTTAAATTTCTATAGTTCAACTATTTCAGATGTTCAAGTAATAGCCAATTATTTGATAAGGAATCTCCACTCTCAAAATACCTAAAGTGGACTAAAATAATTTATGGGAAAATAGCATAATTTTACCCAGCTTGATTTATCTCATCATTTGTGTAGGATTTTAAAAATCATTTTCCTAACAGATGAACAAACTATCTCAGAGTAGATATCAACCTAGTATGAAAACACAATCTGATTTTTAAATAAGAACCACCCACATTTCCTGAAGGGAACCCTATTATCTGAGCCATTTCCTAGAAGGTGGCAGATATGTAAGAAACTATCACCTACACTCACTTTTCCCAAGGTGTGAGGAACCTGAAGACAACCATGTGGAAGAGCTTCTCTTATATTCCCTATTCTGCAACATTTTTATCCAAATAAAATCAGATTAAAATTGGTCTTAGGCCAACATCATTAGTAAAATATAACAAAAAAATCAGCTTGCATAGTTCTCTAGTGTTGGGTTGGATAATCCACATACTTAGTTTGGTAAAAGGTTGAGGAGTTATGGTTTATTAGGCGAATCATGCTTCAATGCATATTAGTAGAGGTCTTATTACATAGGTACTCTCTAGTTGTTTTTATGAATCACTCCTTGCAACTAGTTGTAGCTGAGTGCAACTCTCAAGGACATTCTGGTTTCCAACTCCTAGAAAAGCCTGCATTTGTTATGGTGGCCTGTATGTCTGTAGGTAAGAGCTGTGAGCCAATCTGAAAAAAAAAAAAAATGGAGTCCAAAAGAATCTAACAGAAGTAGAAACTAATCATATTGGCTCTAATAGGATAGTAGAAACTAACCAATCCTGAAATCACCCGGATTTGAGACAAATTTGATATCAAGGATTAGTTTGATATAATCAATAAAGCATCAGATGTCAAATGCAATTTTTTATTTCTGTTCCAAAGTTTTCAGTCACATCAATATAACCTAAACTACCCAGTGGCTAGGGTATAGGAAAAATACTTTTTCCTGACAATTATGTAATATTAAAAAATGCTCTTGGGAGGATTACAGGATCAATGTATACTGATTTTATCCTTGGGCTGGCTCCAAGTGTTTAAACTGATGTCGGGTCCTGCATGTGTTTGGGAGAATCATAGTCTTTAGATTCTATTGCTATGAGTCCTCCTTTAATTTTTTCTATTCCCAAAAGTTGGCTTTATCCCATTCTCTTGTTTTCAATAGTAGACCCACCTGTATAAGAACTATAGGTACTAATAATGTGAAACTAAATTTCTCAAGATTCAAAGGGAGATTGGCTTATGATTCAGAGAATAGTCTAGATTTCCCTTTATATAAATTTCTACGTAGCAGCTTGATACAATACATCTATGAAAAGTCATCCTATTACAACTCATTTGCAAAAACAAAATTAAAAACAGGATAAAATATTCTAAATGCTGGTAAATTTTGCGTTGATCTTAAGCACAAATTACAAAAATATCGATATTCTGTCAAGATGACAGATTGATGTTTATTTTTATAGCATAGCATTTTGTAATATTAAATCTGCCTAGCCAATGTGGCTCAGTGGTTGAGCATTGACCTATGAATCATGAGGTCACAGTTTGATTCCCAGTCAGGGCACATGCCTGGGTTGCAGACTCATTCTCCAGTGGGGGAGCATGCAGGAGGCTGATGGATGATTCTACCTCATCATTGATGTTTCTATCTCTCTCTCCCTCTTCCTTCCTCTCTCTGAAATAAAAACAAACAAAACTCAACTCAACTAAAATCTAATAAAAAAAAAAATAATAAGTTGGCTTTTAAAATTTGTCCTGTAAGAACAAACGTATAAAAAGGCTAATTTGATTTGATTAGTGTGTTTGTCCCCAAATTTGCAGAATAGCTTAGTTCCAAGATATAAGTATTTGAATATTAAAAGAGAAACTTTATAAAAAATAAATGTGTAAAACTTTGAATCTTGAACTCTGAGTTGAAAATTGACACCCAAAAAGAGAAGTCAGGCCCGGCATTTTTAGAGAAACATTGGAAGAGCTTGGATAATTTATATATCCTGTTACATTAATTCCATACTTAGGAAAATAGAACAACATATTTTAAGTGAGGTGTAATGCAGTACTCAAAATTAATTTCACCAGTTTTTTTTAATGGGCCTGTTCATTTAGAGAGATATAAAGATGAAAAAAAATTTAAAGCAACACATATATTTAAGTAATGCATTGATAGTTTTTCCAAGTTATGATATAATCATACTCTTGAAGCTGATGTTCTTATGCCTTGCATCCCATTGCTGCAAGCAGCAAAGGCTTTGCTATCTAGCTGTTATTTGTATGCATGCGATGCATTTTGATTGATTTTTTCATTTATAAAAGTTCTTCTGATTTATGTAGAATTTCCTAGATTTTGCATTTGACTTCAAAGATAAAAAGGGGGGAAATTCACAAGTGTTTTATTGTTTAACATTCCTTTATAACAAGCAGAATACTTGTCGGAGAAAAAGCATGTTTTCTCAGAACTCCAAAGTAACATTATTTGTGGTCTCTCTGCAGTTAGATCCTGAAGCTAGTGCTATTCTGAAGGAACTCCAAGTGAAACTCAGTGGGGTTCTAGATGAGCTCAGCATCACTTACGGGGAAAGGTAAGTGGCCTAAGTAGTTATTTTATTATACTGAGTTTCAGTTCATAGCAGTTATGCTTTCAGTGCTGTTTCTCGCCCCTGACTGGCTAAATCCATTTAACTTGAAGACTTAATCGAAGCATCACCTCCTTTGGAAAGTTTACATGACCCTGCAGTCTTACCGTGTTATCTCGCTATGTGATCCTCAGGACACTGTGCATCCTTCAGTTGGGTGGCACTTACAACTCTGTGCTCTAAGCTATAGCTTAACTGCTCGATTGCCTCCCTTACTATATGCTTGATAAGGGCAGAAGCCATATCTCCTTCCTATTTGCAACTCTATGTTTAGAGCTTATCAAATGGTTATTGAAAGAATGGACGGAGAGAAGGAGAGAGGAAGAGAGACTTACATTCATAAGTCTGAGTTGCATTCATGTTATACATATCAATGTGGTTGTACTTTCAAATAACTGAACTGTATCCTCATAATTGAATTAAATCCAGATTCTAGGTTTTAGGACTTAGAAATCTTAATGAAACTACTCTGTTGGAAATTACTGACACATTCATATTTTCTCCATGTTTTAAACTATATTAGCTCTCAGCCAAAACCGGTTTGGCTCAATGGATTGAGCATCAGCTTGGGGACTGAAGGGTCCCGGGTTTGATTCCAGTCAAGGGCATGTACCTTGGTTGTGGGCACATCCCCAGTAGGGGGTGTGCAAGAGGCAGCTGATCGATGACTCTCTCTCATCGATGTTTCTAACTCTCTATCTCTCTCCCTTTCTCTCTGTACAAAATCAATAAAATATATTTAAAAATAATAAAATAAAACTATATTAGCTCTATTTGTCCATGGCATTGTTCTAAAGAGGGAGAAGTTTATTCTATATAAAATTCATTTGGTCCTCTAAAAATAAACACTATCATCTCATCTTCAAATGTTAAAATAGATAAGAAAGCAAACACCTCTTTGAAAAGGTTCTTTCATTTCATATATAATTTGTTTTAAAAGTTTTGATTATTGATAGAGAGGGGAAGGAATAGAAAGAGAGAGAGACATCAATTTGTTTTTCCATTTATTTATACATTCATTGGTTCTCATACCCTGTTTCCCCAAAAATAAGACAGTGTCTTATATTAATTTTTGCTCCCAAAGATACGCTAGGTCTTATTTTCAGGGGGATGTCTTATTTTTCCATGAAGAAGAACACGGTACACATTTATTGTTAAATGAAAATAAAGGAAATTTATTACCTGTATACGGTACGGTAGTACGGTAGTTGTCAACACAAACCAGACAGACTGTGAATCCTACAGTACCAAGAATTTACTCATTTATTCAATGACAATCATGTCATTATCTTCTGGAACATCATCATAACAATCCAATTCCTGAATTTCCTGCTGAATTTCTTGTGACTCCATTTCTTTCAGAATCAGTGGACCAAATCTCTCATATTTAGCCTGGGGATGGGGGGCTTATTTTCGGGAGGATGCCTTATATTTCACTCAGAAGGAAACCTGTAAGTAGGTCTTATTTTCGGGGAAACACAATAGATGCTCTGACCAGGGATCAAGCCCACAACCTTGGCCTATCAGGACAATGCTCTAACCAACCGAGCTACCTGGCCAAGGCCAGCTCTTTGTTTAAATATTAGCTCAATAAGTGTTGACTTACTATTATAAATTATGCATTCAGTTATAAAATGAGGCTTAAAAATTACTCTTATGGTCCGGACTCTTTGAACTCCACTCATTACTCACTGTGTTTTGGAAAGGTACATTTTAATGGGCATTGTATGGATTAGTTATGCCAGTTGAAATAAGAGACCAAAAAGTAAATGACACTTGAAAGCATCATATTTTCACTCAAATACAGGAATGAGGCAAAGAGAAATCCCTATTGGCCTCCTGTCCAGGGTTAGAGGTGTGCTCTTTGTCTCTGTGGAGCCCATCCTCACAGTTCAGGTGCTGAGTGAGATGAAACCTCGCATAGGGCAGTCACTCCGCCTTCTGTCTGTGTTGCTAGTTGACCTGGGTGATCCTGCTTATTTGACCTAGATGTGTATAAGGAAGTTGAAGGTTTTGTTTACCTGCAGAGAGACTGACATTGTCCCAGACATTTAGAAACTAATTGGCTCTGACTTGGGGGTGACACCTATCGATGGTGCCTTTAGTCAGCTACTTTATTCCAGTTGTGAATTAATATGTTGTTAGCAGAAAGACTGTTACCTTCAGCTAGGAAGGCAAAAGTAGAGATTATTTGACAAAGAGAAGGGGAGAAAAAGTGGTCAGGAATAGCTAGGGGTGTTTAGAACTTTTTCTGAAATAAGATGACTAAACAGAATAGCAACTAGAATATAAATAGAAAAAGCATGTTTAAATTACTTTCTGAAATATATCCAAGTCATCTTTATGAGCAAGAACCTTTTACTTTGGACCGTGTTATTTTCTTTGAAAAAATCGGAGCAAATTTCAGTTATGAAATAAGGAGTGGTGTCCTTAGGTGGGCTCTTGAAGTACTCTATTCATACAAAACCAGCTATTTTAACCTAGATAGTGAAACTCCTGGTTACCCAATATCTATCTCTTCGGTAGTCTTTGCAAATAGGAAAAATCTAATACTTTGATCACTTGGGGCTAGAATTATTGGTATAAATAACCCACATGTCGTGCTTTTCTTATAAGAAGAATACTTCTTATGTCCTTGTTGCTATGGTTTGATTTCCCACACTACTAACCAGGCCTACATCACACACATGGGGTAGGTGGGAAGCCCATAATGATCAGTGAGATCATGCTATGAAGTAAAACCAGATACTGAATCTTAAGAGTCTAAATTAGTGGTCTAGAACTTCAAAGTTAAGTACATAATTAACTGCCCAAACTGCATTTTATCTGTTGTTATTAAAACCCACAATAAAATAATTCTACTATATGTACCTTGCAGGATGATTTTGCAGGAAAGCCAGGAAAGCCAAACCACGCATCTGAAGGCTGGGTTCCTGGGTTCCTGACATGGTCACAAAGGGAACTGAGACTCAGCAATACCACTTCACTGCTGTCATATAGATGTTAAAATGGCACAGCTTGTGCCACTTGGTTTTTGCTTACACATATATTTTTCAGTTTAATTTTTTGATCTTCTATGATTATTTGAATGAAATATTTGGTACCAGCAGCTGGCTGGATAAAGTAAAGAAATAATTCAGGAACATTTTATAGGAATTCTTCTATAAAGTGAGTGTTTGGCTTTTTGGATGCTCACAGAGTCTGTCATTTTTAACTGATAATAACTCAAGCTGATTAGTAAAGAATTTTTCAACCAGATAAATAGATATAAAAAAATCTTCTTAGATGAATTTACCAAAAATTGATAGAGATTTTTAGATAAAACGCATATATTAGTTCACCCTGGACTGATGCCAAGATAGAAGGCCATTATCTCTCATGCACTGATCCCCTTCCTCCATATTCCTAATCCCACACACAGAGCTCATTTCTGGTGGGGGTTTATCATATGGGTCTGTTGTAGAAATCTATTCATGCATTTTATTAATGTGAGTATCACACCTTCTGCTCAGTCTATCTTCTACTGACTTGAAAATGTGTGCAAAAGAAAGTTGCTATCTCAAAAGTGATTATCACTACACTCAATAGGACCACTGACGATCCAGGGGTAAATCAACAGGTCAAAATGCCCAACATTAATTAACTTCCTTTTGCATTACCCCAAATATCCTCCATCTCTACTCTTACTAACTAAGCATAGTACCATCTCCACCATCCCCTTTCTTACCTTCTTGACCATCCCATCTACCCTCCCCAACAAAAGTCTAAAGGTAGGTCTAGCCAAGTAAAAGGCAAATGATCATGCATTTGGATTCCTTTGTCCCTGAGCCTGAAAGGGGATGTTCCATTGAATTAGATAAATATGCAGAGAGCCAGGAAATGAGCCACATCCATAGATACTTGCTGATATCCAAGAATCAAGGAACCAGATACAGAGGAGCAACAATGTTGTCAACAGTAAAGAAAGTCACAAAGAAGGCACAAAGCAAAGATGGCAACAAGCCAACATGAAAGCAGAAGTAGAATCAAGCATTGACTATGCACTCAAAATTATGCACCAATATTTATAAACCTGCAAAACAGGTCCAGAAGCAAGAAAAACATCTAAGTTGAGATCATTTAAAATTTATCATAGACTTCCCATATTACTCAGTTTAATAAAACAGTCCAGAGTTTAGATTACAAATTATGTCTCCAGATGTATATTTGGGAATTACCAGTGTATTGATTTCATGAAAGCCATTGGGATTAAATATGAATGCCAAGAAAGTGATATTTATGGAGAGATGGAGTGATCCAAGAATTGAGCCTAGATGATTACAATGTAGGGTTGCCAGATAAAATATATAGACTATGCCCAACCGAATTTGAATTTCAGATAATCAATGGATAAATTTTAGTATGAATATGGGGTATACTTATACTAAAAAATATTCACTGTTTGAAATTCACATTACTGGGAATCCTGTGTTGTATTTGCTAAGTTTGGCAACCCTACTCTAATGGCTAATAGTCAGGTAATAATGGAAAAGAAGCAGCCAGAGAGGTCAGAGCTAAGAAGGAGTGGCATCCCAGAAGCCAAATGAAGAATGTGAACCCAGATACCAAGTATCTTTCAGCAATAGTCATTTTCCCAAATAATTCTCATAAAACACCTCAGCTATTATAGTGAGAGATAAGGGCCAAATGAATGCTGCTCAAATTCATTCATTATGAAGAGTTTTATATTCTAAGTAATCTTTCATTACAATAAAAAAATTTTTTTCAGCTGAACAATTAAGTTTAAAAATTAATGAGCAAGGGAATTTACACTACCTGAAACAGATCAAACTCCCGTGGGTTTAATTTAAAAAACATGAGCAAAGAAAGGCATAAGTGCTTTTATTCAGGTATTTATATTTCTTATTTTTAGTTTCCAGCTTATTATTAAGGAGTGTATAAAACAGATGGGATTTGAACTAAATCAAATGAGAACAAATGGAAATACTGCATCTAATAAGAACAGTGCTGCAATGGATGCGGAGATTGTGTTAAGACCTCTCATGGACTTCTTGGACAAAACGTAAGTTTTCTACCCAGTTTTCTCTTTATTAATTACCCTAAATTTGACTGATATGATTTTAAGGGGAATGTTTGTTTTCCTCTGTATAGGACAGTTTTAAAAAGGCTTCTACAATATTAATTCATCATAAAGCAAAACACTTTTAGTCCATTACTAGTGACCAAAAATCAAGAGTTATTTTGAACAGGAAAAAAGTAATGGAAAGGAAATAAATATTGGTAACTGAGACGGTTACTATTCTGAGGGGGAAGAGCTTGAGGATATTATACTCCTCAGAAGGCATATTGTTTTACAACCTGTTGGACATTTTAAAAAAGACTGAGTTAAGTCCAGAATATCTGATTTTGTATCAGAAACCTACTGAGGCAAAGAATCACACAAGTGTACTAGAATTAACTCAGCTCAGAGGCAAGTAACCAGCTCAACCTCCAGCAACTATTTGTTGAGTGCCCCTCTGTACCAAACCTTAGTCTAGGCATTAGATAGTGAAAAAGAGAAGCACAGTCCCTGACTCCATGGAAATTACAAGTTAGTTGGTGGGAGTGGGTGGAAATGGGGGCCTTTATGACCATCTAAGACAGAGGTCTTACCAAAAAGTTTTGTTTGCTTGTGTGTGTGTGTGTGTGTGTGTGTGTGTGTGTGTGTGTGTGTTTTGTTTTATCTTCAAGTTTCTGATCAGTCCCTAGTTTTAGAAGTCCTAATTTCATAAGTTAGGAGTAGAGTCAAGGCTCCTATGTTTTAACATGTGTCCAAAATCTGGAACTGTTGATCTAAAACAACCGGAGACATGACTTCTTAAACGGTGATATTTCAAACCAGAGTTGAAGGTAGAAGAGAAAGGTAAAAAATAATTTTGAATGCCAACCAAGGGACCGGTGTCATACCTGGTAGTTACATATGTTACTTCATTTAATGTTGTTGCAGCAAATTAATGAATGCCAAAGGGGCCAAGATAAATGAGAAGATGCAATACTTCTCTTTAAAGATAAGAAAAGCAAAGAAAACCCTAGGGAAAACCTCTTCTATATGTTTACAGCTTTTCCTTTTGCTTATAATCTTATACATAAGTAAAACTAATGTTCTCATCACTTTGATTTTACTATTTGGTAGATATGTTAAGTCTTCTTTTCTGTCCTCTATGAGGAAATATCTAGAAGATAGGTGAGCAGGTAATTAGCTTAGCAGGAGGTACGCAGGCAAGTGGGGTGGAAAAAAGAAGTAGCGGAAAGAAGAAATGGAAGAAGAAAAAAAGGCAAGAAGACTTCTCATTTCTTTTATTTCTTAATGTAGACCTTTACTCTTCTCACCTAATACCTTATATAACCCTAAAGGTTTATTGTATTGTATGGATCTCTACTATGGGCAACACAGGATTGAGCCACATGAACACTACCATTTGGGTGTCCATGTGAAGGCGAATCAAAAGCAAAACAAGCAATTCTGATTCTTTGAAAATTCCTACTGGAATGCCTATGTTTTTAGATTTCTAACAGAAGAGTTATTTGTTATATGTTATTTATCATTAGCAAAACTTTGTATGTTTGAATATACTGTAACCAAAAGTTGTGGAACATTCAGAAAGTTTTAAGTTATCCTAATACTGTCAGCTACTAGCTGAGGGACCTTAATCCATATTAGCCCTATAAAAAGGGGCTAATACATAAAGTGAGTAAACCCTTCTTTTTAGTATATTTTAGAGTCTTATTTTACTCAGTTTTAATTTTTTATTTATGATTATACTTTATTATGTCATCATACAAATAATTATAAACATTAGTAAAGATAGTATATAAAGATAGAAAAACATCTATGAGCTTTAAAAATTTGTGTCAGAGATTTAAAAATTTTGGCAAGAATTATTATATGAGTCAAAGAGTTGAAATAATTCTAGGAACTAATTCAGAATGCATAACCCTAAAGCCACTTATTAGGGAAGTTTAAAAATATCATATTATTTCTATTCTCAAGGTTAGAACAAAAAAATAAGGAAGTTATACAAGTAAACACAATAAAATCTAAAGAAACAATATCCTGGTCAGACAATTAGTATAAATTTTATTTGGGTTGGGTTGTTGTTGTTGTTTTAATAATTTTTATAGAGAGAGAGGAAAGGAGAGCAGGTCAGAGAGAGCTGTCTTCAAATCGGCAACCCTATAGTACCCTGGACCAGTGGTTGGCAAACCACAGCTGGTGAGCCACATGCGGCCCTTTGGCCCCATGAGTGTGGCTCTTCCACAAAATACCATGTGTGGGCACACATGTACAGTGTGATTGAAGGAGTACCCTAATTAAATTAATAGCAATGTACTTTTATTTTAAATTCAAGTTTAAAAATTTTGGCTCTTAAAAGAAATTTAAATCATTGTACTGTTGATATTTGGCTCTGTTGACTAATGAGTTTGCCGACCACTGCTCTGGACAACGTCCAACCAACTGAGCCACACCAACCAAAGCTGATTTGGGTTAGATTTATTTATAAAGATGGATTGGGTTTGAATATATGGAAATGAGGGATGAACATTTCCAGGGGTGTGTGGAATGTTGGATATGTTATCATGAAAGTCCTACCAATTATATGACTGGATATCATTATGGCCAACTAATATACAGGGCATTTGACAATTTTCTGGTTAATTGGTTCTGTGATCAGAGAATCTAGGCAGCTATGGTTCCAAATACATACTCTTCGGCTTACATTATCAAGTTGATTGTCTCTGACTAAATTAAGGAAGCAGTTGCTAGATGCCCCATTTTAGAGTATGTTATTGTTTTTCCTGATATTTAAAATTAGCAATAGTGAGCTGAAAGTCTTACAGGTAGCTCTGAGAAAGTCTCCTTAGAAATTGCATAGGCTCTCTTTGTCTTTGTGAAGCCTCTGTAAATAAGACATCTTATTTGTTTATGTTTCGTTTTCTCTACCACAACCTCACCACTCCATAAAATGAGCTGTAAACTTCCAGCTGGCAGAAAGCTCACGCAGAGCTGCAAACATGCAATGATTCCATACCCATTCATTCAGTTCCAGTCTAAACAGAAGTAGTTAACATGCCAAGTTCATGAGCTGCCCATAAAAACAAGATCAATTCTTAAGCTCAGATCTTTTAAAAATGGAAATTACACATCTGCTGAAAATGTGGCAGATTTTTTTGTGTCTTACATTATCCTAGGGATTCCTCTGAGGCTAGAGAAATCCTAGTGTTCTGCTGCAAGACAGCTGCTGGCTTCTGCCCTGTGTCCAGATAATAGCCACTGGCAGGCTAGAGACGTTACCCTTGAACAACTGTTGCTAAATAACTGGGGCTACGGATTTCATAAATATGGCTCAGGGTTCCCAACTCTCCTCTTCATTTAGAGGAGGTTTCCATACATTTTTTGTTGTTGTTAATCCATCTGAGGATCTTTTTTACATTGATTTGTAGAGATAGTGGAAGGGAGGGAGAGAGACAGAGAGAAAGAAACACCGCTTTGAGAGAGACACAGCAATTGGCTGCTTCCTGCAAGTGTTCTGACCAGAGCTAGGGATTGAGCCTGAACTTGAGGTACATGCCCTTGACTGGAATTGAACCCAAGACCCATCAGTCCATGGGTTGATGCTGTAAACACTGAGCAAATCCAACTAGGGTTCATGCATTTTTATATATTAAGTATTCACATGCTATAGTGTTATGAGAAATACTTCTACATGAAAATGCAAATCTCCCGCTTTACCTCTCACATGTCACATGTCTGTAATTATTAATTATTACTTTGATTATCTAAATGTTACTTATAGGTTTAAATACTTAATGCAGTCAATTCTACCTCTCTCAGAACCAGAGCCCAGGTTATAATTCTTAAGTCCAAAAGTATAGAGATTTTTTAGCATCACTATCAACAATGAAGTTTTCGTGACATGTATGATTCATCTTTGGCACACTATGAAGCTCTTAAAGTCTCAGAGTTCATTGTCATCGTTTGGGACATTCAGTAAATATTTATGCAGAAGTGTGTCTTCATGTACTGCTGGGCCTTCATACACAAACACATGTATCAAGGACAGTGTGGGACATGAGGATGTAGAGAAAGGGCCTGACTTTGAATCTAGCCCTCACCGGCTTCACTTCTTTGGGCAAGTTCCGTAATCTCTGAGTCTGTTTCTGACTTCAAAATGTATACAGTAATAGGTGAGAAATATCTTTAGTGGAAGTTACCGAACAATGGTGTTATGTAAGTGTTAGATGATGTCACCATCATTATCTCACCATGGGAACAATTTATAACAGATGCCTTAAATCTATTAAAGTTGGTAAATTTGGAATCTTAAAACTGAACTCAGAGAAACAAAACAACTTTAGTGATTGCCAGAGGTGGGGGATTGGGGAAAGGGAGAAGGTGGTCAAAAAGTACAAACTTCCAATTGTAAGAGAACTAAGTTTTGGGAGTGTGATCCCCATGGTGACTGCAGTTAACAGTAATGTATTATATATGTGAGCATTGCTAAGAGAGTAGATTTTAAAAGTTCTCATCACAAGAAAAAACTATAAATATGTGAGATAATGGATGCTACTAAACTTATTGCGGTAATCATTTCAAAATATATACATATATCAAATCATTATTTGTACATCTTAAATTTACCACCATTTTATATGTCAATTGTATAGCAATAAAACTGGAAAATTAATAAAGTTGATAAATATGGGCTCTTGAGGGAAATCGTATGCATCTTTGCCATCTTGTTGTGTTGGCTCAGAGCCAGGTAGTGATCAGATGTGCTTGGTTGGTATTTGGCCTGAACCATGGACACAGAGCATGTGGTAAACATAAGTCGGAAATGAGGGTGAAAATCATGTACTTTGGGAGCCTTGGTGTCAATTTAGGAAACAATTTAAAGAAATAAATCGTCTGAATTCATTTTCTACTAATTAGTGAGTTACTTAATGTATCGTATAATGAAATAGATTTTTGATATGTATTTTTTATTTGAAACTTAGCATTTGAATACTATAAAGGCCTATTCACGTATTAGAACAAACAGTATTGAGGAATGGGAATCTCTGATCAATAAAAAATAAGTTGAAATCTGGATAGGAGATTCATAAGTGATTACATGTCTTATTTTACTTCAGATTAAGTCTCTCAGCAAAAATCTGTGAGAAAACAGTTCTGAAGCGACTTTTGAAAGAGCTGTGGAAGCTAGTTCTAAACAAAATAGAGAAACAGATCGTTCTCCCTGCTCTGACAGATCAAACGGTAAGTGTTTAAACTAAGTTTGGTTTTATTTTCAATAACCCATCTAATTTATTTCTGTTTTAGTGAGTGGATTTGATTCAAATTAAGTATTAAACCCACTTTGAGAAAAAGTGTTTGTATACAAGGTCTTAATAATGATCATTCAAATAACATTATACAAACCAATTTTATGTAATGGGAGTAGCAATCACACTTCATCTCTTGAAAAAAATGTAGCAAAGTTAAACTTATAGGGTTATCTGGTCTATACACATCATTTTTTAAATATCACTTAAACCTCCAAATATTTTGATTTAGGCTGGAACATCCCCACTGTGTTTCTTTCTGAAACCTCATTCTTTAAGGAGATAAATTCAGCACTACCATATGGGATTTATTTTTTCATCTGTACATTTTGCTTTCATCTATTACCTTCCCCCATGGAGGTTAATAGAGGAGACTACTTTTAGAGGATTTGAAGCACATAATTGTATTATTAACAGTAAAATTGAAAAAGAACCAGAAAGGTTAATTGGCAGCAAAGTTAGACCATGGCCAAATGGATACACAGTGCTAGGATTCTCAATTCCCAGCGCCTGAGCCTCGTAAACAAGCACCCATTATAGAGTAATTTCCTTTTCTTTTTTTCTGTGAGGAAAACAAGTTGATACAAATAATGAGTAATTTAAACTAAAATCTGTGTTGAGCCCTTAATTATGCATACTCAGTCCATATTTATCCAATGAAATTATATAGAAAATATTTTCATGTAAAGTGTTTCAAGATGCAAAGATACATATGTTTTTGTTGATTGACTGCCAACAGTGGGTGATAAACTATAAATTAATTTACATTTTGCTTCATGCCATTAACGTGTGGTATCATCATTTGTACATATGAGTTGCCAAATCACATGTAAACACACACACACACACACACACACGCACACACACACACCATGTCCCCACACAGACCCTACTCTGCTGCAATATGTAAGGCATTACTAAAACATCAATTAGTGATCATGTAATTGACTTACATAAAATTTTCCTAGGTGAGATGCTTTGGAATATAACAGAAGAACTATAAACTTCAGAAAAAAAGAAAAAGAAAAAGAAAAAGGACTAAGCTTGGTTATTACAAGAGTTCTTTCATCCCCAATTTTTTTAAAAATGATTTTGTCTGGCTGGCATGGCTCAGTGGTTCAGCATTGACTTATGAACCAGGAAATCAGGGTTTGATTCCCAGTCTGGGCACATGCCTGGGTTGCAGGTTCAATCCTCAGTGTAAGGCATGCAGTGGGCAGCCAATCAATGATTCTCATCATTGAGTTTCTATATCTCCCTCTTCCTCCCTCTCCTTTCCTCTCTAATTTCAATTGGGGGTGGGGTGGATCCACTTGTCCATAAGCCTTTGATCCAGAAAGACGCACCTTGCATGACTCACACACGTCAGGCTACCCCCCCACCCCTGCTTGTATGGGTATTTTTCAGCCCATAACTGTACTCTACTGTTTTGTTGTTCCTTGTTTGGGGAATGTTTTTGAATTTTTAATATTCCTTGAAGCAGCCACTAACCTCAATGAGCAAACTGCATGCTATCTCCCAAAATAGCATTTATTGTTTTTGACAGTTATTTGTTAACAAAATTACATAAGCTTCAGTGATGCTGTCCACTACTATTTCCCCCATGAGCCCTACTGTTACTAGTGCACAATTTTGTAGAGTATGAGAACATATAAATCATGACATAGAAAAAATACTATAGATGACATTTCAGTTTTGATATAGACCTTTGTTATGAAAGCTGACCATAACCTCAGTTTTCTCTAGCATGGAGATCTCTCAGTATGAAGCTATATCACTTATTGATTCATTTCATATGTGTTCTTTGAGGTCCTACTATGTACTAGGTACTGTGCTGGGTGCTGAAGATGAAATAAAGCAAAATTAGACATGGTTGCTGTGTTCATGAACTTTGTAGTCTCTAATTTGCTAATGAATATACAGGCTCCACTAAAAAAAAAAAAAATTCCAGCCAAAGCCGGTTTGGCTCAGTGGTAGAGCGTCGGTCTGCGGACTGAGGGATCCCAGGTTCGATTCCGGTCAAGGGCATGTACGTTGGTTGCGGGCACATCCCCCGTAGGGGGTGTGCAGGAGGCAGCTGGTCGATGTTTCTCTCTCACTCTCATCGACGTTTCTTGCTCTCTATCTCTCTCCCTTTCTCTATGTTAAAAGTCAATAAAATATATTTAAAAAAAAAATTCCAGACTACCAATGAACTTAGTCAAAGTTATTACTTTTCTTGTCAGATTTACCCACAGATATGCCTCTAGCTATTCATTCTAGTAGTGTGTTGGATGGCTTCTTCCAGTGTTTTTTTTCCAGGATGTTAGGGTTCTAGGAAGAGGCTATGGCTGAGAGAGGATTGGGGAGGGGAAGTCTCTGAGAATTATCACAGCATCTCATGAGTAACGGCTCACCTTCCTCAGCTTTGTACCTTAAAATTTTGCAGATTTATTTTGGGAAGTAATGGAGTAAAGGAGTTACCTCACTTAAAAGTAAATTAATGAAATATAAAGATATCTGATTGAATCCACATGCTAAACTGACTATGGAAGCAACAATCCATTCAGTCACTGAGACTTAAAGCCTGCAGAAGTAGGGTACCTGTGAGGACAATGATAAGCTAGCAGTACTAGGTACCTTTGACCTAATCTGTAAAATAGACTTACATAATATTGTAAGTCTATTTAAATAGATTTACAAAATATTTTATGCACGTCGCATAAAAGTCACCAATATTATAGGGAAATAAAGCAAATTCTCTATTGACCACATTTCTAATGCAATGATTACTAAAGCTTTTAAGACTAAATCTCTTTTTTTTTTGTAATGTGTATCTCTAGGGACCCCAGATGATTTTCATCACTGCTAAAGATCTTGGACAATTATCAAAACTGAAGGTAATAAGAATTCATAAAATTATTGGTTGTCTGTGAAAAGTTATGAGCTAACTGCAGCTCTATAAGAAACCATCTTCCTATCAGTCATGGTATTTACCATGGCAGGACTAACAACATGTGTGTCTGGGATCTCACAGTCTGCTTGAAGGAGGAATCAGGTCAAATTTAGGATCTGAATTTTGCTTTTCCCCCTTTCTGCCATGTTGCTCACATTTTCCAATTAGTAGGGCAACTACTAATTGACTTTGTATTGTAGCATGCAGCATTTCTGCTTTTGGAATAAATTAGAGAACATACTTCCTTTCATATATTAAAATGGCTTTATGTGAATAAAGGCAAATTGCAATGTTTCATGGAAATCCAATAAAGTCTAGAGGTCTTATAGGCAAAAGGCCTAATTAGGAAAATGAAACTCCTCAAAGCAGACATTAAATTTTCAACATATTAAACACCATTATAAATGAGAATTTGCTGACTAAACAACCCTGCCCTTTATTATTGCTTGAGATCCCTAACACTTTGCAGCTGTGACAGGAACCTGACTGGTTAAAATACATATTATTGTTCTGTGACTGGCTTATTTCACTTATCATAATGTCCTCCAATTTCATCCATGTTGTCACATATGGCAAGATTTACTTCATTTTAAAGGCCAAATAATACTTATTGTATGTATAGGCAACATTTTTTCATCCATTCATTCATCACTGGATCACATATAGGCCAACATTTTGACTGTAATCAAAATACACGCTGTTTTGTTTCATGTTTATGGATTAGAATATAGTGTAGCATGTGGCTAGGTTCCAGACACAGATCACCTTGGCTGCAGTTCTACCTCAGGTGCTTCCCACTAAGGGGACACCAGCCTAAGTATTTAACCTCTTTAATGTTCAGCTGTGGTATATGTAAAATGCAAAACAGTTCAACACTTCGTCCATAGGACTGTTTGAGGCTAAGTGAGATAATGGCGACACTATCTTTGCATAGAAACTACAATAGGATGCCACCTCCTATTCGCAGAAACAGCTATTTGTCTCCTCCCCCAGCTGGCAGCTCCCAGTTAGGTATCACAGAATTGTTTTGTGTGTAAAACACAGGGGGAGGATAATCCATTTGACTGGGTAATTACTTATCCTGATAAAAATAGCTACCCTGTAATTCCAGGATTCTATTTTATTACCTTCCTCGGAAAACAAAAAGCCAATAATCCATTTAAAAGACATAACCATCACCTAAAATTGTTTTTCCAGGTATTCAGTGATGTCCATAGTTCAGAGGCAAGGTAAATGTCACTGACAGACTACTATTTTGTATATTGGATCTCTTACTTTATCCCTCAGATACCTTTCTGGGATTTCTAGTTTCAACTTTGAAAAATGAATTTTACAGAGTTGAAGTCACTCCTATAAAACCATGAAGGTGAAACAGCATAGTGTGTCATTACAAAAGAAATGGCCCCGGCCATGCTTCTAGCATCTGTGTGATATTAGGAAACATACTCCATCTCCCCAAGTTTCAGTTTCCTGAATGGATCATTATATCAGCTAGAAGTGTTTCAATTTCAGGTGATGAAAAGCCAGAGTAACATAAGCAAAGAAGAATTTTATTTTTACATGAAACTTTATAGTCCTGGGATAACTCTGTTTTCTATCACTGCTTTATTAAGAACTCAAATGATGTTATAGAATTCAGTTACCACCTTTCAGCTGCTCTTTCCTTATGTGATTTATTGCTGTAACATACCTCCCTTCCTATTTGTACAATAGCTATCTATGCTCAGTATCTAATGTCTTTGAACTTGTAATCTTGTAGAGAATACCCACCTTGGTGCAAGGATTTTCAGCAAAGTCCACTGGCACATCAACAGCTCTGATGGATTATCATCATTCCTAAGCCAACCACTGTGGCCTGGGAAATGACATATGCCATTTGCCTTAACTCATATAGGCACTCCTGACTGCAGTCAGGCCTATTCAAATCTTACCAGAGGCCCAGTGCACAAAATTCATGCATGGAAATGGAGAGGGGGGGCGTGCTCAGCCCAGTCTACACCCTCTCCATCCCAGGACCTTTTGGGGGATATCTGCCAGTTTAGGCCCAGTCCCTCAGGCCCTCCCCTGCTGGCCTGGTCTCCCCTAACTGCTCTCCCCTGCCAGACTGGTTGCCCCTAGCCACCTCTACCTTGGCCCCTGCCACTGTCACTTTGTCCGGAAAAACGTCCAGAAGATGTCTGATCTAATTAGCATATTACCCTTTTATTATAATAGTATAGATAAGCTCTGAGTGAGATGGATACTGGCTCTCAGAGGGTACATGCATGCCAGGTGAGAAAAATCAGAGACGTGTTTAGTTAGGTCCCTTTGGAGCACCCAAATTTTATCAATTCAATTAATTCTCTTTTGTATGTAATAAACTAATAACAAATAATGAATAAAATATCCAAAAAGGTTTAGTCAATCAACATTGTAATAATCTGAAGGACTAAAAATAGAATCTTGGTATCCTTAGGTGATGGAAAATAACTTAGTTCTATATCATATTTTTGCTGATCCTTGCTTTTTTAGTTTTTAAATGATTAGTCAATTTAGTTATTACTTAAATTACAAAGCAATAAATCCTCTATAACTATTTAGAAAAACTTAAAATTCTAGCCATAAAAAAGAACTTAAAAATTTACAAAGCTATTTTCCTTTATGTCACTAGAATACTACTACTAATTTTTTTTAACCTTTGGGCCTTTACATTGTTTGTATATTAGTTTGAAGGGCATATTTGATTTACTGGAAAAGTACTATTTAAAATAATTGTACTGATGGATAAATTTAGAAATCCTATATAGAAATATTAACAAAAGTTAAGCTTACTTAAAAGAACGTAGGGCCAAAGAAAATAGAATAACGAAGGAACTAAAATTTTGAATGGATTCATAAAACAAGTATTTATTCAGCAGTTAGATATATATTTATTACCTCCTATTTCTGAAACTTCATAATGTATGGATATTATGTATACCAACTTTTGACTTTTAACAGAATCAGATTTGCCATAATTTTTTTAATGAATACATTGTATAGACAAGTGGTAATATAAAATCAAACCAATGAAGAAAAATTCATCTTAGACTATGGGTTTATCATAAGCAAGCATAACTCATTGGAAAATAACTCATTGGACAATAGCTCATTACCAGTTTCTTTTAGATACTCCCTTATTTGAATGGGTATTGTTAAATCCCAGAAAAAAATTTTCTAGAAAGAATTATGGTTTTCTACAGCACCACATATATTATTGATTAACATTTATTAAACAATTTGAACACATTGTAAAGCTAGTCACAACTGATGAAGCCAGAGATTTAATATAAAATATTTGTGTTTACTTGCCTATCCTAAAGCATTCCTCTCTATAATTCAGCAAACATTTTTCATTACTCTTTCAGTCTCAATGGCTATTTAATATTTAAGTTTAGAAATACTAAATGGACATACATGTTTGAGCTGAAGTCCCTATATCAGAAAGATGCAGTGTGATGCAGACATGTATGCCATAGGTCCTTGCATAATTCTGTTTAAGCATGTTGAACTTTACAAAATAAGGTGAGAAGAATGCAATTCAGTTCCAAAAATATATTGAATGCCTTGCCAGTGATGATTGCCAAGATAGATACTGAAATTCTGCAGAAATAAGACACAGAAACCGCCTTCAGGAAGTCGTGGCATCTGCTAACAGCATAAGGCCTAGAACAGAGTGATGAGCCACTAGTTGTGATGGCACATTTGTGAATTGAACAGAGTTAATGAACTGGTTATTTTATAACCATTCCTGGCTAAGGTGGCAAATGATGGTCTAAATAAAGCTCAGGCTCCATTTGCCAAGTAACACATGCTGATGTGGAGCTGTGCCCCATAGAAAAAGAGACACCTTTTATTGTTGACCAAAGCCACTGACCCGTGAATCAAGCTATGCATTCCCGAAGCTGTGTACACCCATAAGGCCATTTCCTCTAATTCATACAAAGGCACCTGTGGAAACTAGAATTTAAGTTCCAGGGGAGCAAAAATCTTTCTTTATTCAACAGTACGTCTCAATCATCTGGACCAGTACTGGCACATAGTGAGCAATCAATAAATATTTGTTGGATTTTATTGATTAGATTAGAATAGTGGCAGCCTGAGGGAGATTGTACTAAGTTGTGAATTCAGTAGTTTTCACATCTTTCTCTTAGACAAATTTCTATTTCTATTGTTGTCTTCAATTTTGTATCATCATTTCCCTACAGAAGTTTTGACTAATGGGTTGAGATAGTCCACATTGAACAATGAGAAAAATCCACTGTAAAATATGGAAACCAGTTCTAAAATATTGAAAAATTATTTTGAAATGTTGAAAATATTTAATCCTAAATTAAGTTAACCTTTTCCTAGTAATGACTAAGCATTAAGGGCTCTAAGAAAGAGAATACATTGGAAGCATGATACGTAGTCTTTATCAGTAGTAATCAAGAGAGTCTAAAATTCACCTCTTAAGTCTTTTCCATAATTGACTTGCTTTAGTCTTAAAGACATAAAGCAAGGAATTAAGGTGAAAAAGCTTTGAATCACACTTTTCAGGTTTCTCTCTTTTGTTTTAACATTAACTTGTAAGTGGGGGAAAAAACACACAAATGAATCAAAGTACTATTCCTTAAGTAAATACTTAGCATTTCTTCTTTTGGCAAAATGGGTATTTAATATACGACAAAATAATCACCTGACAAGTGTTGATAAGGAGAAAATATTTCAAATAAAAATGTTTTCATATGGGGATTATACAGATTTTGTTTGAAAATAGTTGTTAAGTTAATGAACTGGTATTTTATAAGCCATTATTAACCTGTTTAACAGGAGCACATGATTCGAGAGGATGCCAAGGGTCTGACAATAAGACAGTGCACCATAATGGAGGTGGTCCTGGCTACCATCAAGGTAAGGTTACAGTGCCTCTGGATATGCATCCAGAATCCCCCGTGTGCCCTCAGCGAAAGGCACCCCAGATGCATCTCTGTCTGTAGAGCTGTGCCATCCATGGACAGTTGTATAGAACATTCCTGAAGTGTGCCCGGTTATCCCATATCACCTTATTACATCCATATTACTATCCTTTTATTTGCCTCCTTTGTCTATCCCTAAAAAAATGTGTGTGAATCCTATCTTGTAACATGTTTCCATGGACTATCTGCAAAGCCCAGTTACACAGATGCCTCATGGGATTTAGGCTACCCGAATTTCTTTTTATGTGTTCTATAGTTGTTGAAATGGTTTTTAAAAGATCAATCTCCTCTCTCTTAGCGCAATAATTTAATTTTCTGCTCAGAACTCAAAGGCATTGTGCTGTGTGCATCAATTTTCCATAGCCAAAGGTCGATCGAAAGTGGTAGTGTGTGCTAAATGTGGAAAGATCTCAAAATTTAACTTAGAATTTCTTTGTTTTCATAGATCCCTTATATGTTTATGTTCAGGAATGTTGTACATACATGTGTAAGTTTGTTAAAGTGAGAAATCAATTTATCTCCTAAATTTAAATTGTGCCCAATGTCCCCTCACTTCACTGCAGAAAGCATCTATTATTCAGGATGTGTGAACAGTGCAGCAAAAAGTGCCAGCTACCAGGAGCTGTTTGCAGAGCACAGAATAGTCTCACTGGATGGAAACAGACTTTATAATTCATTAGAACAGAGTTCTAACTGTCTAACAATTGGACACCTTCACAAAACTACCACCTCATGGCTTTTGTTTTGCAGGATCAGCATTCAATAAGAGGCCATCTTTTACTTCTTTAATGTAAAAACCTGCAAAATGAAATTGATGAGGTGAAAGCTTTGTAACACCTAGTGGAAGCTGGGGAGTGAGAATTTAGGCTGTGATATTACAGAAATAGAGTTTCTAAAGAAACAAAAAATATTCTCTAGAAGTATGGAACTATTACAAAATAATTTTCAGAGGAAATGGAAAAATTTGAATAAGAACCTTTGGAAATATAAGAAATGAAAAACTGTGAATAAGAGTAATAGCAGTGCTAAGAGCTATACATAGGAAAATGCCAGTAGGAAAAAGAAAAAAAGAACTCTGCAGTGCACCATGAAGAGGGGGAAAAAACACATAAAATTTATAGAATCTAAATCCAGCCCTTTATGGTTTTTTTCAGGTCATTGTATGACTTTAAATTAAGAGAGAAAAGAAAATGTGTTCTGTGAAAAGAAGGACACATTCATTAACAGACCTGGCTCCTTCCCACACCTTAATATTTCTCTAATTCTTCGCAGTCAGGACACTTGACCAACACCTATAGGCTGAACTCTGCCCAAACTCTGGGACATCTTTGACTCCTAGAAATCTGCATCTTGACAACTCAACTATCATAACGCTGGTGGTCTTGGTCCAGCTTCCAGAAGAGTTCAGGAACCTGGAGGAGGAGCTGTGCATAAATTAAATAAGAGTCCAGAGGTGAAACATAATTTTGAAAGGCATTATAGAGAGCCAGAGGAGCTTAGCTAAAGAAACTAAGTTCTCCTTGTCTCAGGATTCCTGGCTTTTTATTAACACAAATTTTCCTAAGGCAATATAGAGATATACAAATCAAAAGGTAGGGTTTTGTATAGAATACATTGTCAGATTGGGGAATTTGCTTATGGTTGGTCAGATGTTTGGACAGTGGGAGGCAATAATATGTAGATTAAGATCCCCTGAGCTATCTGGCAGCAAGCAATCAATTTATGCATCCTTTTCAGGTTTGGGGAAATGCCTCTAGCCATTTCCAACAGGCAATAACATATGTGACTCAGCCCTTGTTGAGTCCCCAAGTTCCATCAACCTCTTGATGAAACTCTTGCAATGATGACATACTGGAATTGGCTTCTGACACTAACCCATTTTCCTGTCTTTGTCACCTGTGATGATCTTTTAATTCAGCCTCAGCCACCAAATACTTGCCTTGCTCTTTTGGACTTATCTCATATATAAGACTGAATAAAAGGGTCTGTGTTATTATCTTGTTACTTTAGGACTGGAGTCTGACCCTGGTACTCCTGAGCCTCAGAGGCTGAGGTCATGTCTCCAGTCCTCCTGTTTCCCACCTTCTTTGATGCCACCTCTTTCTCGGGGTTCACCATGCTAGGGTTGCTTTCAATGGCCCTGTCATCTGTTAGCCAAAGCTAAGTCTCCCTTTATCTTGTCTGCAGCTGATATTTGCACCTGCTGGCTACCATAGCAAGTACTATTTCTCGTGTTGACTATTAAGGAACTCAGGAGAAAGAAAAAAACTATTTAAAATAATTGTAACCCCAATGTCTGCCTGGAGCTTAGCAAGAGGAATACCATAAGGCAAGCAGGGACCTCAGGAGGAAAATGTTCTTAGAAGCAGACTAACACCCAAAGGCTGCCAAAGAAATGAATCTTATTTCTCTGCAGCTCAATTTAAGCAAATAAGCTGGGAATGGAAAAGAAGGAGGAGAATGCTATGGAATTTGTAGAATGTACATTGAAATCGTGTTTTTAATTTTTTTCAAATATCTTTCAGATTCACCTTTCCTGGTTTTTAGAAATATCCTGGGTGGTAGATAGATCAATATTAATGACTCACATTTTATAGATGAGAAAACAGAGGCTAAATTATTAGTCTAAGGACACTGACCTGCTAGTAATTGGCAGAGCAGAGAAAAATCTCCAAACTCTAAAGTCACTGTCTTTGCTTCTATGTCACACTATTTCCCTAAATGTTAATGAAGTGTAGATAAAAGGTAGCAAGCCAAAATGGATATTTTTTCAGAGTGATTAATTCTTTTAAAATTCTATTTTAATTATTAAATTATTTTCTAATTATCTAAAATAATTTAAAATATTTCAGCCTCTATGCAAGTATTAATACAAAATACCTTGTTTCCCAGAAAATAAGACATCCTCTGAAAATAAGACCTAGTGCATGGAAAGATAAGACATCCCCTGAAAATAAGACCTAGCACAACTTTGGGAGAAAAAATTAATATAAGACACTGTCTTATTTTCGGGGAAACTGGGTAATAATTCATGTAAGTAACAAAAATTTTATTTTTAAAATATATTTTTATTGATTGCAGAGAAGAAGGGAGAAGGAGCAAGGGAAATAGACACATCAGTGATAAGGGAGAATCATTGATTAGCCTCCTGCATACCCCTTACTGGGGATCGAGCCCATAACCTAGGCATGTGCTTTGACCAGAAATTAGAGAAACCCATTTTGGTTCATGGGTCGGTCAATACTCAACCACAAAGCCACAGAGCCTGAGCTGAAAATTTTCTAATATCAGTCCCACGTAGTTTTAATTATAAGCCAGAATATGGTACAAGTAACAGAAGTTATAATGATATACTGCAGGTAGCATGGTTGGGCTTTGAGACATTCCATTACCTGCCAACACAGCCAAATCAATAGCATTTGAAAATAAAATTAGCAAGATGACAGCTATGAGGCAGATAGCCAACAACTTAATCAGTATGTGCAAGCTAATTGACCAGTTGGGAAAACCTAATTTGAAAAGGTCCTTGTTGAACTTTTGCATCTCAGACCACATGTCAGAAGACTCAGGACTGCTGTAGGATTCTCTAAAGTGTGGGTTTCTTTCAAAGATAAACAGGAGACATCTTTCCACAGCAGATACTGGCCCTGCTCATGAATCTCCAGACTTAAGGGAATTCTTAAAACTTGAACATTCCTCAAGTTATTTTATGATGAAGTTTTAAATACTCAGAGAAAAATAAAAAATAAAAGCTGGTTGCTTTTATATTTCTTACCCTTCCAATTCCCCTGGAATACTTGTCATTTGGACTTGACATGACTTTGCAATGTGTGTTGCAGGTGTGGTTGACTTCATGCAGTGGCGATGTAGAGGTTTAACAATAATAAACATGGGAATCTGGGCCCTCTAGAAATCTGCATTTCTTGGCATAAAGAAAAGAATTTAGACTAAATATGAATACTATTCAATAGAGCTTTGGAACTTACTTGCTCATTTAATACTAGATAACCATTTCTGCTGCTTAGGATTCCAGACAAATATTGGGATATGAGATGTTATGCCTGAGGCTGTTACCCTGATTAAGGTCTTACCCCATCCTGTTACCTGTTTTTCACATGGCAATTTGGTGTCCGTTTCTCAGCATCTTCCTTTTTATCATTATAAGCATAATTTTTGCATTATTTAAAATCCAGCTGCTTATGGGAAGAATACATGTCTTACCTAGTTTGGAGCATTGTAATTCAAAAATTATTATTTGAAAGTTTACTATATATAGCAAGTATGGTGAGCAATGAAGAGGTAGCAAAAGATAAGAGGCCTTGCTCTTGACTTATGAACAAAAACATCTACAATTGATAAAAAGAAATGTGGGAAAAGTGGTCGGGGATGCAGAAAGGGAGATACATTATTTGTGGGTACCTCGGGAAAAGTTCCCTAGAGAAACGGATTTGGAGTTTAGAAGATGAATTGGGGAAAAAACAAGGGGAAAGTTGCTACAGAAAAGCATGAGTGAAATGCAAGAAGGTGTGGGTCAGCCTGAAAAACGTCACTTAGCCTATTGAAGAGGACTAGGTCATGACTGGCTGTATATTATAGGGAATAAGAGAGGAACATTGGCCCTGACTGGTTTTATTCAATGGTCTGGGGACTGAAGGGTTGTGGGTTTGACTTCCAGTCAAGGGCACATAGCTAGGTTGCAGGTTTGCTCCGCACCAAAGAAGAAGAAGGTGGGGGTGGTAGAGGAGGAGGAGGAGGAGGAGGAGGAAGAGGAGGAGGAGGAGGAAGGTGAGGAGGAGGAGGAGGAGAGAGAACATTGGATTGGAGCCAAAATACTAAGGCTTAAACATCCAAGTAAAGAATCTGAACTTCTGATCTGATGTGGAAAAAAGGAATCCAATTGTAGTAGAAAATAATTTTGAAATATCTATCAAATAA